TTTAACATATTATAATACAAGTTTAATTTAACATATTATAATACAAGATTAATCTAACATATTATAATACAAGTTTAATTCAACATATTATAATACAAGTTTAATTCAACATATTATAATACAAGTTTAATTTAACATATTATAATACAAGTTAAATTCAACATATTATAATACAAGTTTAATCTAACATATTATAATACAATTTTAATTTAACATATTATAATACAAGTTTAATTTAAAGTGCTCTCCGCCTTTCTTCTAAGTATTTCACCTATATTCGTGTATTTTATATATTTGTTTTTACAAATTCAGACAAAATTATTTTAACAATCTTAAAAAAGTTAACTGTTTAGGAGGGCTAAAGGTAGGGGTTAGAGTTCTCGAACACAATCTTTGACACGTATTTAGACCTTCCTTAGCTTCTTAGCTTAGAGATTGATTTGTTCAAAAAAAATATCAGAACACGCCAAAAATTCGGAGAGTTTACAGATTTCAATGATTCCTTATAAGCCATAAAAACTTAAGAGGTCAAAAAAAAGTTGCAAACTTGCTGCGTGATAACCAAAAATCTATGAAATAGGAAATAGACTGTTAGACTCAATTTATTATACTTTACATAGTCCAATAAACATAAGACATAGCAAATGTGCAGCGTAAACAGACCCATGTTTCCCTTAATAACCTATCAGTAAAGCGTTTGCTTTTAAACAACATCAAATGCACTTCAGCATTGAATTAGTGTCGTCTTTATATTAAACAGTTTTCAATATGTTTTTACTGCATATAAAGATGCATATGTAAATTATATGTTCATCAAAACTGTCGGCTTGGAAATCTAATTTCTGATTTATAGCTAAAACCAAAATATGTCGAAAATTGACAACGATATGACCTAAAAACACTGAATTATGCCACTTTCCCCCATACCTAAAATAGCAAAAATAGTAACATTAAACACACAATATTCTCTCTAGAAGGAGATGATTCATTTGTAGTACTATCTCGTTTTAGATGCCTTAGATGCCTTGATCCAATAGTTTCACTTACAGATCAGTCCGCTACTTCAAATGAACCATCCATTTAAAATAAAAACAAAACATTCTTATATATGTTCCCTATAGCCGGCATAACGGCTGGACCGAATGGGCTGACATTTTTTGGACACTTATGGGTAGCTTGAAATATGTAAAAAAAATCTAATTTTTTCCCATTTTTTTCTAATCTAATTTTTAAAAAAGAAGTAAAGATTTGAAAAGTTTACCCTATTTCCCCTAGAATCCCCGTGATTTCCTGAATAGTTGGAATCTAGAAACCAGCTCGTATGAGAGAGAAAGTCGTCTTTGTATAAACTGTTAATTTCTTAAATCATGTTTGAACACGAAAAAACTTAATTTTTTGCTAATTCTAATATCAAAATTGTTTATATATTTAATTATATAATGGCTGACACATGATGTCATTGAAATATGATAATTTGAGATTTTATTGGGCTGTTGTTACTGAAAAAAAAACGTTTAAATAGTGTCTATGCACAGGAATCATACCTTTCCGCTGGGATTCTAAACGATAAATCGGCTTTTTCTCCGGTCATAGATATCTTTGAAAAGTAAGACTATACAATTAAGGGGTTTCCAGCGAAAAGGAAATTTTTTTTTTTGCGATCATTTCGCTTTATTTTCGCATTTCGAAACTCAAATTCTCTTCATCAAACATTTATTAAAAGTAAAAGAACAGAAATTATGTATATGACATAATAAAACTTCAAATATTGAGCTATCATAGCAGAGGATTCCTCAAGTTCTTTTGATCAATTAATTGTTGCGGCTATACAACTCATGGTTTTCACAAAATTTTTGCATTTCACTTTATTTATTTTCGCGAAAAAATGCGAAATTTCGCGAAAAAGATTGCGAAATAAGACTGAAAATTTCCCCATTTTTTGCATTTTTCCGCGAAACGTTTCGTTCGCTGGAAACCCTACTATTTATATCAACGAATAGCTAATAGGATAATTTGTTTACCATGAAAATACCCAAATAAGTAAACGTTCCCTTTAATGACTAGCAAATCAACCAACGTTGCCCATGCCAAGAATGTGTGGTCGGCCTGTTTCTGTGTGACGCATTGTTTAGCCAAAAAATTGGTACCCGCTCATCGAACCTAGAGGAAACGAACCTAACGTTTTTCTTACCTAACGTTTTTCTGACCTAACGTTTTTCCGACCTAAAAATCTGTAGGTTCGATTAGCGAAATGTTCCAAACTGACCTAAAGATTGGAAATATATTTAGGTCGGTTATTAATATATTTTAGGTCAGTTGGGAATATGTTTTAGGTTGGTTAAAGCAACAATTTTAGGTTAGATAAGCATTCATTTTAGGTCGGTTGAGCAATATTTTTTAGGTCGGTTGAGCAATATTTTTAGGTCGGATGAGCAATATTTTTAGGTCGGATGAGCAATATTTTTAGGTCGGTTGAGCAATATTTTTAGGTCGGTTAAGCAATATTTTTAGGTCGGATGAGCAATATTTTTAGGTCGGATGAGCAATATTTTAAGGTCAGTTGAGATTTTTTTTTAGGTCGGTTGAGCAATTTTATTAGGTCAGTTGAGCAATATTTTTAGGTCGGTTGAGCAATATTTTTAGGTCGGATGAGCAATATTTTTAGGTTGGATGAGCAATATTTTTAGGTTGGATGAGCAATATTTTTAGGTCTCTGTTAAGCAATATTTTTAGGTCGGATGAGCAATATTTTTAGGTCGGTTAAGCAATATTTTTAGGTCGGATGAGCAATATTTCTAGGTCGGATGAGCAATATTTTAAGGTCGGATGAGCAATATGTTTAGGTCAGTTGAGAAATTTTTTTAGGTCGGTTGAGCAATTTTATTAGGTCAGTTGAGTAATATTTTTAGGTAGGTTGAGCAATATTTTTAGGTCGGATGAGCAATTTTTTTTGGTTGGTTGAGTAATATTTTTATTTCAGAGGTTATAATAGATGAGTAATATTTTTTTAAAATGTTTAAATGTAAAGTTGAATTCAACATAAAAACAACAATTTTCAATTAAATTAGTATTTATTTAGGGTTAGGTTAGGTTAAGACACTTTCTGGGCCGAGCGCTGCGGCTAGGATAGGCTAGGGGGCCGAGCACTGCGGCCAGGAAAGACCTTTAATTCAAAAATTTTTAATAAAATTAGTGTATATATAGGGTTAGGTTAGGTTAAGCTCATTTCTGGGGTGAGCGCTGCGGCTAGGACAGGCTAGGGGACTGAGCGCTGCGTCCATGGGTTAGGTTAAGCTATGACACTTTCTGGGCCGAGTGCTGCGGCTAGGAAAGGCTATAGGGGGCTGAGCACTGCAGCCACATGTCTTACATTTAATTGAAAATTGTTGAAAAAGTCATGTAAAAAAAGGATAGGAGGGGGAAGGGGGTCCAAAAATCGTTCTCTAGGAAATTACCAAATGATTTAAGTTATTTAGTATTATTTTAGGGTTAGGTTAGGTTAAGCTCAATTCTTGGCCGAGCGCTGCGGATAGGATGGGCTAGTGGGGCCGAGCCTGGCAGCCAGGAAAGACCAATTTTATCCATGTTTTAAATATGAGATGCATGTACAGGACCCAACGGGTGTTAAGCCCCCCTCAAAAACCCTGTTTTATTCATTACTGAAACAGTAGTGGTACAGACTACAGTTCACAATTATGGCAATTATTGGTAAAACAACCTAAGAATATTGCTCATCCGACCTAAAAAATTGCTCATCCGACCTAAAAATATTGCTCATCCGACCTTAAAAAATTGCTCATCCGACCTAAAAAATTGCGCATCCGACCTAAAAATATTGCGTATCCGACCTAAAAATATTGCTCATCCGACCTAAAAAATTGCTCATCCGACCTAAAAAAATTGCTCAACCAACCTAAACAAATTGCTTAACAGACCTAAAATTGTTACTAATCCAACTTAAACTTCCTGGTAAACAGACCTAATATATATGCTCAACCAACCTAAATATATCTCTAAATCTTAAAGGTCGGAAAACCTATATATTTCTCATAGGATGTCAAACGGACCTAAAGCTTTTTTTCAACCAAACCGACCTAAAACACGTGCAAACTACTCGATATTTAGGTCAGAAAACCTTTAGGTTAGAATCATCTAGGTCGGAATATACGGCACCAAAAAATTACACAGTAAAAAGACTTTTAAATGTCGTCTTTTCTGGATTTTACAAGAATAGCTGCCAATTGAATAGTTCGCGCAGTGTTCCCTTAATCTGAGGGGTTTGTCAACGATCATGTAAACCATGATGGCAAATAAAGCATTATTTAGCGAAGTTAAATCTTACTAGTGTTACGGTTTAGCCAAATATAAGAAACATGGATATGCATCCATACATATTTCACTGTCCTCTGCTGCAATATTACTTTCAAATTATAATTGATAATATAAAATAAAATTGTTGAATAACCAATTTAATCGTCATGTGCAAGATGAAAACAATGTTACTGTGCACAAACGTGAAAAGCATATTGCTCTTCAACTCAACCATATTCGTTGCTAATTATATTCATCAGCTCTTTGAATCTGCAACTCTTGAAATAATCTCGGAACGCGTCAAAGAAGTTAGTAGGAAGATATGGACTCCACTGGAGACTAGCGGAGGGATGTTATTTTCACCGGAGGGGTTTGAGAAATTACAATTATTGAATTGAAACTTTACACAGTGTGATTTACATTCCACCGGAGGGATTCAGATCATAAACCTGCTGGGAAGATATCTGAATCCCTCCAGTGGGAATTTAGAGCCCTAGGTAGACTATCTGAATCCCTCCGGTGGAATGTAAATCACACTGTGTAAAGTTTCAATTCAATAATAGTAAGTTTCTCAAACCCCTCCGGTGAAAATAAAATCCCTCCGCTAGTCTCCAGTGGAGTCCAAATCTTCCTACTAACTTCTCACTCTCTCTCGGAACTGATTTATTACAAGTTTATTTATTACTGGACAAAAATAAATATTTATTATTTTACTTTTTCAAAATATTTTAATTCTGTGTCATATCTTCTTGTTGATTGTTATTAAAACTCATAAAGATATCCCAAAAAATGTTTTTTTTTCATACAATAAGAACCGCGATCTTTAGAAAATTAATGTCGATTATAATAAATTAGATGTGAATTTTTTATTTGACATCGACATCACTATTCTAAAACATGGTCCTTGGCCCTTGCTGTATTTTAAAAAATAATTAAAATTAATGGGACACCCTGGACTAACATATTGACTATAAAGTGTTGTATGGCACAGTTTAATTTATTTATTTAATACTTTTTTTAATTGATAAACTTGGCAATTAATCAATTTATCAATCTTTTCTTACAGAAAATCCTCCATTAATAAATTTAAAGAAAATTCACAGTTTTGCAGAACTTCACAAATAAAAAGTTCTTCCCGGATCTTTTTCATATTTTTCTAAATTATTATTCGCTCCGTAGTGCTGTGTATTGTACTGCTGTTGGGAACTGTACTGCTGTGGACCGAAGATATGTGCACTGTTGTACATTGTATGAGCGTTGTACCCGTTAAAAAGATGTTGTTGCACGGGTTGTGGTGGATGTTGTTGTGGATGTTGTTGATTTCCTTTATCAGAAAATTATTTTTAAAGAGTTTATTGATTTAACACAAAAAAATGGATTTCTAATAATGTTTAGTCATTTACGTTACATTTAAAGAACATATTAAAACGTTAATCTGACTTTTTTTAAGAGTCTAATTACCACCGATTAAAATCTTCCCTTGTTATCTTAATATCTTTCCTTTTAACCTTTGTTCCTCAGCATTGATGATGGAATAGGGTTAATTCAATTGTTCTTTATAAAATTTGTTTACCTTTATAAAAAAGACAAGGGATAGGAGAAAAATGCAAAGAAATTCCTTTAATATATCTAACATTTCATTTGAATGTTTTTTTTTGATGGAAAATATTAAAAACAAAAATGTTAAAATTAAAAAATAATTTTCTGAAACCTTTGATAAAGGGAAGGTTCGCGAATCTACTTAGATAACTCTTCTTTCTAACTTGAGGTGGAGGCGGGGGGAGGGCAGGGAGTGTGGGAAGGGAAGGGAGGGGAGGAAGGGAGGGGGAAGGATGGCGGGAGTTTGAGGAAGATATCACGGGAAGGGACTGTGGCTGGGAGTGTTCTATAATGGCGGAACGGCGTTTAAACTGATCTCCGCAGCCACCAACACGGCCTCCGCCATCCACTCCGCCGTTAACATCCTGGCCGGGTTTTATAAAATCAAGAGACTCACATCTGAAAAATATAAATTTTTCTGAAATAAATATTGAATAAAATCATAAAAACATTTTAACAAATCGAATAAAGACTGTTTATAATGTTTTTTTTCAAATTTAAATTAATATTTAAAAAACACTTAATTTTAAACAATTTAAAGTATTGAGAGTAAGATTTTTGAACACACACAATGTTATATAATAGCGTTAAATGTACTTGATTAGAGCGAAATAATATAAAAATCTAACCTGTTAATTTTAGGATTTTTTAAACTTTTAGACTTTTTCCTTCTGTTCGGCTCCTCTTGACCTGGAATACAAACAACAACTTTATTTTAACGTTTTCCTAGTTTTCCTTAAAAAATAAAATTACATACAGTGGAACCCTTAATAACGAATACATCGAAAGAATTCATCAAATGTCGTATTCTTCACTTTCTGATAATGGAATGTTGCAGATATTTAGTTGTTTAATTAAATAATTATATGGAAATCTTTAAAACTGTTCCTGCATATTCATGGCTATTTATTTATTTTCGCAAATACTGAAATTTACGTAATATAGTATAAAACTCATTGAAAAATTGTCAAGACGACATTTGATAAATTCTTCCGATGTATTCTTTATTAAGGGTTTCACTGTAAATAATTTAAATTTTTATAAAAGTCATCTTATCAAAAGTTCAAAAAAAAATTTTACTCGATATTTTTTCTGTTTTAATATGTTCCCTGGGTAAAAAGCAACAAAATTTAATATGGCTCTTTTAACTTTATTTAAAAATTCAACATTTTAAAAATATCTTTAAGTGTCATAATTCATAACCAATAATGTACTTTAAAAAAAATCGAATTTACAATTTTCTTTTTAAAATAGATTAAAACTTTAAAAAGAGGTTTAATTCTTCTGAATTCTTATTTTAGTACTTATCTTATTAATATCCATAATTTTTGATTAATTAATTAATATGGCTTATTTTATCTTTACAATAACTAATAAAGTAAAATAAATTAAGAAAAACAAAAACTTAGAATATAAAAAAGTCATGGAGGGGTTCTGGTATATTTTGAATTTTAAACCAACAAAATATTATAAAAACAAAACTTTTATTTATTTTCACACATTGCTACTGGCAAATTTTTAATTTTTGGTATTTATCAGGAAACTCAGAACTCTACAATTTTTGTGAAAATGGAACATCCTATCGTTTATTTGGATTAATTTTTACCTCCACTATGGAACCCTGAATCATCTTGAGTATCTTCTCCTGATGGAACACTTGAGGGAGCTACAGGAACAGGTTGAAATATTTCCTGAACAATAAAAATATGTACAGGGTGTACCAAGAAACTTGAAATCTTAAAGAACACTTTTGAAACAAATGCCATTAAAGCTACTTTTTTTCGATAAAATAAGATTTTGTTTTTAACAAATGGTTTAAATTTAATTCTTAAAAAGTTTTAGAATGTTTGTTTGAACAAAGTACATTTGTAGATTAGTATAACGTAAGCCTGCATAATGTACGTAAGGCAAAAAATAAATATAATATTAAAAAGTGCTTATGGAGAGGGTAAAGGGGAGGGGGGGGGCAGGCAACATGAAACAAGACAGGAAAAGAGAAGGAGTTGGGGGTGGGGGTTATTAAGTTTATACCTCGATATCAAGCTTAAGGTTTGATAATCCTTTACTCGTCTTTTTTAAATCCGCTAATCCACCAGAATCCTCGTCATCGTCCCAGTCAACATTACTTCGTTCTTTTAACGTCTGCTTTCGTCCTTTACTGATACTCATGTGAAAAGACGATTCGTCCAAGTTACGACTGTTCCGTTTGACTGTATCCTTGGCTCGGCGGAAAATGGCGCGAATTGAATCGCCGCTTGTTTTCTCGGACTTGGTTTCATTGATTTCCTCATAAATATTCTCCGTCTCGTTGTAATCCAACGACGCGTTGATTCGAATCAGAAAAGCAGGGGAAACACTATCACTAGAATAATAAATTGTAAAATAGTTTTTAATTAACAAAAAATGCAGGTTTTCAATGATTTTATCCGCAGTAGCTTTTAAAGAAAGTTGACAGTTTATAAAAATAATAATAATTGATGACATAAAAAAAACAACTCATATACATCAATAAGAAAAAAAATTTAAAGATAAATTGAAAATTGATTTTACAATATTCAATTGCATAAACCAATGACATCATGAAGAAAATGATTGTTACTATATAGATCATAGAGTTTTCATAAAGCATACGAATGAACAAAAATTTATACGGTTACATAATAAAAAGGAATTGAGTCTTTGCCACAACTTCTGATCTTCTAATCCCTTTATCTTTTGATGCCAACGTTGTAAACCTTTGACATTTCAAACTATGACTTTTGTTAGATCAAATAATATAAGTTTGAAATATCAAAGGTTTAAGACATTGGGTTCCAAAGATAAAGGGATTAGAAATCCAGAGTTTGTGGCAAAAACTCAATTCAATTGAAACATTTTTGTTCTTCTCAATAGCTCTTCAATATGAGGAGTTATGAAGAATAACATATCAAAGTGTACAGTGTAATTTACTTTACTCTGCCGTGGATTGTTAATAATTTACCTGTAGGCATACGAATAATCTCCATCAACCTCCTTCGGAGATTGATAGTGTAGATCCTGCTGCTCACACTCACTACATCCTTCTCCTCTCCCCTCATCATCCCAACCCTTCTCCTCATCCTCATCCTCATCCCACGCATCACAGTTACACTCATCTGTAAACATCACCCGACGATGACGGCGATTACCGCCGGCGGTTCTAGTGGGCGGATCTTCCTCGCCTTCGCCCCCACAGGTACACACACAATCACATCCATTTGTGGACTTCTGGACGGATTTCTGAAAAAAGTATATTTTTAAAAAATTGTAAAAAATTGTATCTTTCAAATTGTGACCGAAGCGAATCTTCATTTCTAAGTTACTGCATGTCCGATTCACAACCTTACCCTAAAAAGCGTTGATTCTGAGCAATTGGTTTAATGAGCTGTACAATCTTCTCTTCCTGTGAATTTTTAAAAAGAAAAATGTATTTAAACATACATTGCAATCTCAATATTTTTACTCTAGGATAAAGAATAAAAACCAAAGGAGGTGGCGCAAAATTAAACAAGTAATTCTGCAGAAAACAACTCTTGCACCATTTAACAATATCAATAACACAACCTAACAGACCTCAATTGGAAGAATTATAGATTTTTAGATCCTGTCTCAATAATAACCAGAAAACATTGTGATACTAGGAAGATGACATAATAGCAATACTTAGGTGAATTTGAGGTTGTTACAAAGCAAATAGTTTTACTAGACTCTTATTAAATCTCTAATTTAGTGAAATCTGTCTGCTTACACTGCACTATTGATTTGTCTCATGCTCATTAGACGTGCTAAAATTTTAAATTGATTCTTAAAGTCGTCTTCCTTTGTCTGAGTTTTCTGGTTATCAAGCTGTAGCCCTTAATATATCTTTTTTTTCCAAATTTAAAAAATGTTTGGCAGGGGGGGGGGGGGGCAATGGGAGTGTTGGAGCTCTTTGTTGATTTTACAACCCTCCCACCCTGAATTCCTGAGCCAAAATATGCATGTGTTGAGCTTAATACAAAGTTTTCATCTAAAACTTGTATTTTATCTTGCGTGTAAAAAGGGTAAAAATTGCGTACACTGCGTACCCGGCATACAACTGACCTCTGCTTCGCAAATTTTGGTATTTTTGATGAAATTCAAAGCATGAAGGAGAAGCGAGTTATTTGTTATATAATTATGGTCAGAGATGTTGGAACAAGAATATAAATATTAAAATTACTTAACTTAAAATCACATTTTCCTAATTCAATACTCCAAATTCTTTTTGCCATTTAACGTGTTAGAAGCTACGACGAAACCGATGTTTTTTTCCCTTTTTTTGTAAACCGAATTGCCCGGCGTTGCCCGTGGAATTCTTTTAAATCAAATCTTAAAAAAAATGTTTGATTTTTGAAATAAAAAATTTAAATTTTCGAAGATAACAAATTTCGATTTTTTTTAGCCTATGTTACCCAAGGGTACTCAAGGGTTCCCTCAAAAAATGTTAGCCCATTCGGTCCAGCCGTTTTGTCAGTTATAGCTAACATTTAAATATGAGCAAAAAGCTTTATTAAATATAAAAAGGATGATATTTTTTGTTTTGTTTTTCAATTTCACATATAGATTTAAAGGTACACTGTTGAGAATCATTAATGGGACTTGTAATTAAATATTGTCGACTGTCCCATTAACCCTCAGCCGGATGGGGGGGGGGGAGCCCCATAGTTTTATTCTCCACCTTAAAATGTTCAATACTATCTCAACTCCAGGGGAAGTTCGTTCCAGAAATACACAAGGACCATTTCTAATACTGAGTATTAGAAATGAGCAAAGTGTTAGTTTTGGAACTAATGTCCCCTGAGAGAAAAAAAGAGTTCAGGGGGAGGGTCTTTCCCGAGATGAAAATAGGGTGAAAGGGGGAGGGGGACCTTCCACTTAAATTAGACGAATTAGACAATAATAGACCGGGTGTTATTTACCTGACTAGATTGATTGATTGATTGTTTTTTTCCTGGGTTATCTCCAGGTCTATGTTTAGATAGGAGACTATCACTTCGGTTGGACTGGGTTGAACCTCCGGATAAACCTCCTCCAGAACCTATATTAAAGGGACTGTAAACGAAATTTCAAGTTACCCTCTAGAACATGTATTAAAGGGACTGTAAGCGTAATTTTAAGTGACCCTCCATGCAAATATGGCAATGTCTGATTTACAACGGTACCTTGAACGCTTTATCTGATCAATAATGTTTAAGATATTGTTTGTTTTCTAGGTTTAAAAGTATTCAATTCAGATAAATCAAATGTCTCCTTGCAGCAGAAATGCGCAGAAATTACGTTTACAGTTCCTGTAGAGAGAGTAGCGACCGATCACGAATTAACAAAGAAAGGTGTTCAGGAAGTAATTAAGGGTGCTTTATTAATTAATTAATTAATTATTCACTAATTGAACAATTTTGTTTACAAACTATACTTAAAGGGAAAGTTTACGAATTTATTCTAGTAACCTTTTGAAAATTAATCAAAAGGAATGTTTGTAAATTAATTTAAGGAATTGTTAAAGATTTAATTGAAGTGAGTGTTTACAAATTAATGATTCAATTAAAGAATTCAAGAAAAAGAAATTTTTCTAAAACATTTAATGCTAAATTACAAATTAGGAAATTGGTTATTAGTTTATAAACTGGAGAGTGTTTTAAAGTTTTTTGAGGAAGTGTAAACACATTTCAATAAAGGCGTTTAAGAATTTATATAAAGGAGATGTTTATAAGGCTAAATGTTTACAAGCTAATTTGATCAGATGGAAACTATGATTAGATTGTTTTTTAATTAAATTCAATATGAACCTTGAAAATATTAAATATTTGTATGAGATAAATAGGTCATTTCTCAAGGTGGGGGGGAAGGCAACGTAAACTCATAGAGAATAGAATATATAGAGAGGAATTAAAAGAATCTCTCGGTATGAATTTTTTCAGTTCCTTTCAGCCTGAAAGGGAGATAAAAGTGTACAAATCATGTAAATGTTCACAAATTATATGCAGTAGAGTACATTAATACAGTATGTTCCCTAGACTATCCATTTCAATTTCGAATTTTTTTAAACTGTTAAATAAACTTTATAATGAATTAGGTGAAGTTTGTAAAGTGGAAGGCATAGAGTCTATGTGAAATGATCATTGGTCAATTATGAAACCAGCCTATTTCATAATTTGGTTTTCTTATAACAATAATTTTAGATTTTCTATAAAATGATATTCAGGGCCCAACAGGTTATATAGCATAAATATGTGAAGTACACCTGCAGTATGGAAACAGTACAACAAAATGGCCGTTTTACACTTTTTTCTAGTAAATTCCTCTCTATATATTCTATTCTCTATGCGTAAACTCAAGTACGTACAAGAGCGACTATTTAAGCTGCTAGACAGCTAAAGCAAGTAGTATAGTTCGCGTCCGAACTATATCAGGCAACCCGGCACAGTAAATCAAATGAATCAGCCCCTTCTTTAGGAGATTAAAGAGGGGAAGGGATGTTTTAGTTAAATTTTGAAAGAAAAAAAAACTGGTTAAAACTTACCTCCTGATGAACCCCCTGAGGATACTCCTTGAGATAAGGAGCTCCCTGAGCTTCGAACTGAACTCTGACAGGAGCTGCTCCTGTTAATCCTACACGTCTTAGCCAGGCCAAAACATACAGGGGGGGGGGGCGTAAGCCAAAAAAAACTTTACAAAAAAGAAGAAAAAAAAAACAATAACTAATCATCGAAATTTGGAGAAAGAAAAAAAAGTAAAATCATAACTATCATTATTATTATTTTCATTTTTGTTGAAATTATAATTCTCAATATTATTATTATTAAAATTATCATTTTTATTATCATTATTATTATTATCATCATTCCTATTTTCTTGAAGGCACTAAGTTGTAAGCCTAAAGGTTACAAATGCAGTATTCAGAAGCATAGTTAAACCTTGAAAAATTAATATGTTAAAATGTTAAAATATGTAAAACTAAATTTTATTCAAGCTTTCAGCGACATAAACCACAGAGTTGTAACCCTGTAGACTTGTAAACCCACATCTAGAGATGTCAATGGTTTGTTGGATAGTTTTTCTAAATTAAGAATTTGTTGACTCTCAAAAGACTCCACACAAATTTGAATGTTTATCATATTTTAAAATTGTATTCTTTATTAGATTTCGCTTTTATTTTATTGTGCAAAGTATTTTCTGAAACATTTTCATTTTTTTGAAATTACTTTATCACGTCTATGTTATCTTAGAGATGTTTGCAGAATGCATTAACACCTCTTATAAAGCCTCTTTAAACCCAAAAGATTTAAAAAAAAATTAAACGATGCCTGTCTCTATCCCTACCTGTACTATGCTAATCTACTGAAAATTTAGACATTTTACACGACAAGGACACAGTCAACAGTTTACAGGCATCAATCCAATGAAACTAACAACTTTAAGAGCAAATGATAAGAGCAGCAGTGATTATTATTATTATTAAAATTAGTATTATTATTATTATTATTATTACCATTATTTTTATTTTTATTATTATTTTTGTTTTAATTGTTATTCAAAGCTACGACTAGAAATGTTCCTAGGACTAAGAACTCTTGGTAGCTCCAGTTTCATCGAAGTGTCTCCATTCCTGGAGGTTGACGTGTAACTGGAGGTGTTTGAGGTGTTGGGAGCAGTGGAGCCAAGCTGCCGCAGTTTAGAGTTCTTGGACCAAATATTGGAGCTAGCATGGTTATCCCACTCCTAAATATATAAAAGTTATGTACAAAGGAATTGAGTCTTATCCACAAACTCAAATTCACTAACTCATATATGCAATTCTATGATCTTTCAAACTTAGATTATTTGATCTAAAACATTTCATACTTTGAAATATCAAAGATCTAGGACAATTAGTTGCAAAGATATATGTATTAGAAACTCAGAGTTTGTGGCAAAGAGTCAATTCCTTTCAGAAAGTTGTTAAGGTCTGAGTAAGGGATAAAATGGACAAATCAACAGCGTGTCATTTTTTAGATTATCTGGGTTTAAAGGATACCTAAAGAGATTTAGGTAGAGTAGGTCCATGAACTAGCAAAACTACCTGGAGAGATATAGGTTGAGTAGGTAGGTCCCCGAACTAGTAAACCTACCTGGAGAGATTTAGGTAGAGTAGGTACATGAACTAGTAAACCTACCTGGAGAGATTTAGTTAGAGTAGGAAAATTAACTAGCAAAACTACCTAGTGAGATTTAGGTGGAGTAGGTACATGAACTAGTAAAACTACCTGGAGAGATTTAGGTTGAGTAGGTACATGAACTAATAAACCTACCTGGAGAGATTTAGGTGGAGTAGGTACATGAACTAGTAAAACTACCTAGAAAGATGAAGGTGGAGTAGTACATAAACTAGTAAACCTACCTAGAGAGATTTAGGTTGAGTAGGTCCATGAACTAGTAAACTTACCTCGAGATATTTAGGTGGAGTAGATACATGAACTAATAAACCTACCTGGAGAGATTTAGGTGGAGTCGGTACATGAACTGAAACTCCAAGGCCAGGTACTCCACTAACTCCAGTCCACAACTGCCTTAAACTAAACAGATGGGAGTTAGCACAAGCAGACACATCAATTTAAGTAGGAGTAACTTTATATACCTAAATCTTGAGCAAATATTTAAATTTTTTATACTTAAAGAAATATAATTAGATATAATGTGTTAGAACTAAACATCGTAAGTACATTTCTTGATTGCGATATATCTACTAATAGATCTGATAGATCTGGTATAATTGATAGATCTGATAGATCTAATAGATCTGATAGATCTGATAGATCTAATAGATCTGATAGATCTGATAGATCTGTTAGATTTGGTAGATCTGATAGATATAATAGATCTGAAAGATCTAACAGATCTCAAAGATCTGAAAAATCTGATAGATCTGATAGATCTGATAGATCTGAAAGATCTGAAAGATCTGAAAGATCTGATAGATCTGATAGATGTGATAAATCTGGCAGATCTGAATAATCTGATAGATCTGATAGATCTGATAGATCTGATAGATCTGATAGATTTGATAGATCTGATAGATCTGATAGATCTGATAGATCTGATAGATTTGATAGATCTATCAGAACTAATGATGGATTGAAAGATAACTCTGATTGTAAAATGAAAGATAAGGTTTAGATTACAGAGATATTATTGAGGTTTGCAATTCTCAAACTTAGGGCTGGCAATTTCCGCACAAATTCCTTTTATTTTTTTATTTAATGTTTTAAAAGATGTTCCCTACAAAATATTATAAATAAAAGAAGGAAAGAAGGGTGGGGGGTATAGAGTATGCACTATGCACCCCCTCCCCCCGCCAACCCTTTTTATCACCCCTGTCTGAGCTAGTCCAATCTGCAATAATTTTTCTCTCACTTTAACAGACACAAAGATGATGAAACTTTAAAGACCATTTTATCTTGCTTTTAGATCACTCCTCCCCTTTATCTAAGAAAACATGTTTAATTCAGTTTGATAATGTTAACCTGTTTCTGAATGCGGTATTTTGTCTATTGTCAAGCTCTTTTCCGCTGAAAAAATTCGCAACTCGATATTTTAGAAATCTATTTGAATATTTTTATATTTATGTACGACTATTTATGAATGATTATCAATATCCCTTCAAATATTCAAATTTTGTTTTGGGTCGTCTTCACAGTCTTATCCTTTGTGGATATCTCCATCAGTCATCCTTGAATCAGGTGGTAAAGGGAACCATTGTGAATCGTGAATGGCACTCTTTAAAAAAGAACTACTTGAAAATTATTCTCATAATTTTAGACTGCAATGACTCGTTCTAATTATTTGAAGTGTTTCAATCCATTATTTTATACTCGTGATAATATTTCAACTTTATTGTTGTTATATACACGAAAAACATTAAAAGTAGAAATAAAAAAGGATTTGAAACATGATGTGTTAAGATGACCAATAAAAAGTACATTAATACAGTTCTTTACGGTTTTTAAACAGGGATAGTTGGCAAACAACGAAAGGTAGACAAGTTTTTTTTTCATACAATGATTCTGCATATAGACGATAGGATTTAAACCTTTTGCAATAAACTTTAACAATGCATCGTCAGCCCAGAGTCGTATGGTTAGGTCTTTAGCTATTAAGTGCTTTACAAAAATGCAAATTTAGACTTATGACTAAAATATTCCTTAATTTAAAGAACATTTGAAATATTTTTTGTTGTGTAACCACTGTCTCTCCGTCAGCTTCCTGCCATAAAACACTTTAAATAAGTCTTTTATAAAACACTTCAAACTTAAGTAAATTGAAATTTGTTTTTAATCATAACTTCTCTTAATGAAGAGCTATTGAGAGGAAGATGAGAAAAGTTTTAAAATAAACGGACAAATTTGTTTATCTAATAGTTCTGCATAAAATCAAAACTAAAGGAGCTACGAGGTCACAATGTCGTATATATTTCATCTTCTCTAGTTTAGTGTTAACAGTCAAGAGTAATGTGAGCGATATGTTGGCTGAAAACCACACCAACCTCTTAGGATTAAGCATAGAATAAATTCAACCATAATTTATAATACTATTATATCTTAAAGCGCATACCCTTGTATGGAAAAAATGCTGCTATCCTTCCCCTTTAAGCTTTAAATTATTAAGACTGAAATATCGAAGCAGAAAAAATAATATCTTTAAATAAGATTTAATGATAATCATTAAACTTTACAGTCGAAAAATGAAAAACATGCAACGATATAACAAAAAAAGTAAATGCAAGAAAAAATAGTTATTTCTGCCATTTTAAAGCTTCATTTGATCGCACAAATCCTCCCCTACAGTGAGAAGCCAAAAATCGCTGGAATAGGAAGACGACTTTTAGACTAAACTGACAATAAATAGTCCAATGAATATTTGAATTAATATGCATGATTTTATAAATAACTAGTAAATTGCTATGTGCTTTGAAAAAACATAAAATTTATTTAGTATTGCTTTAATGTCGTCTTCCCATTCTACAGTTTTCTGGTTATCAAAGGCTTCCTCAAGTTATTATTTATTGTTAAAAGACATCCCAATAATTCATGTTTTGTTAAAGTGTTTTCAAGTACATTCCAATGCAACCCCGGAACATTAACAAGGGCTTGGTAATTTATACAAAAATGTTAATTGTCCGTAGGGGGGGGGCCGGGGGTGGGGAAGGGTCATTCAGAAGCATTTTTGGGCGGGGTCATTCACTTTTTGTACGAAGAGAACACAAACCAGTTTCTTACCAAAAAACTATGAGTTTTACTAACACGGTTAAATCTGTGGAAAATTGGCTCAAATTTGTAATTTAAATTTTTATTTAAATGGTTTCAAAAGAACACCAGGGTTGAGCTTAAAGGGACTGTAAGCGTAAATTCAAGTGACCCTCCATGCGAAGTTGGCAATGTCCGATTTACAACCGTACCCTAGACCCTTGAAAGCTTTGTATGACCAAGTATGAATTATATATCATTGTTATTTTTCACATTTTTGATCAAATTAATGTTTTAAGGGTGATTCAGGGGATGCCCTTCTTTACATAAAAGAAATCTTAAAATTTCGTTTACAGTCCCTTTAAATCAAATAGATTAAATAAAAGCCGTACTAAATTCCAACTTAGGTTTAACTTGAAATACTTTCTACAAACTCAAATTTTTAATTTTAAATCTTTGCAACCTGATATTATAATCATTTGACCTTTCATATTATGAATTCTGCTAAATCAAATTGGGTAACGTTCGAATTTTTAAATGATTACATCATCAGGTTTCCTAGGTAAAAACATTAGAAAATCTGAGTTTGTGGCAAGGACTCAGTTTCTTTACAAAGTTAGCTGCATACATGATAGATCTTCTAAGTTCATTAGGGTTTAGGCCAACCATTAGGCCACATCCCTTTCTTTAGATATTGTAAATGAAATGTAGGGGATGGGATGGTTCTGGGGGGGGGGGAGGTCTATTCATTTTAAGGCGTCGGCGATACTTAAACAAATATCTTGAATAAGAATTTAAAGTTTTGACCTTTTAAAAACATAATTTTTCATCTCATAAAAACTATAATTATTGTTAAAATCTACAATATAATTTCCAGGTTTACTGACCATAGATATTTATACAAACACAAACCTTGTATTGATCAACACAGAGGGAGTAAAGAACAACGGATACTTCAAAATAAAGGAATTTGTGGCGCTTTTTACAAATTATTATTTCAACCCACCATCACATAATCAGAAAATGAAAAATAACAAAACATCTTCCAAATGCATGTTATCTTCTTCATAATTTATTTCAGATTTTCTTTGCTTTAGAATTCATCGGTGTATCCTCAGACAACCCGACAAAGTACATGGTAAGTTATGTGGCATGAGCTGAAAACTTTAGAATGAAATATCCAATTGGAAGATAACGTTGCTTCTCTGGAGTTTAAATTCATGTGGAGAACAAGCAATATTTAAACTGGATATTAAGAAAAAGAGTGGTTTAAGCCTTAATCCTGATATCCACCATTCTAAAGTTTTCAGCTATGAGCTGAAAACTTTAGAATGGTGGATATCAGGATTAATGCTTAATACGTTCCTTTTCTTAATATCCAGTTTAAATATTGCTTGTTCTCCACATGAATTTAAACTCCAGAAAAGTTAACCGATCGGAATTTAAGATATCCCATTCTAAAGTTTTCAGCTCTGGTAATTAAGTCAGTGAGTATTAATTTTGGAACCAATTTGCATCCCTTAAATTAATATTGTTTGAATATGCTATAATAATACTTTTTGTCTGCGTCTTTATATTGATTGATAAAATAAATAAAGCCTTTCTGCACGCTATTTTCGAAGGAATGAGAGAATGAGAGATCGAAATATGTTAATAAGACATGATGTGCTTTATTTTAGTTAGTTTTAAGTGAGTGTGTGTATATATATATATATATACAGGGTGTTCCACGAAACATGACAGTTGATGACTAGTTTATCGAGTGTCGTCTTCCAAATACTGGATTAGTTTTAAAGACTTTTCGCAGTTTAGTTCGGTAGAAAAATCTTTTACTCAAATATATCTTAATCTGGGATCGATTTTAGTATAATAAAACTGCCAAATAATGTTTATTATTATTTTCTTTGGTATCAAACAACTCAACAAGTTATGAATGAAGACATTTTAAAATATTCAACAACTGTCATGTTTCGTGGGACACCCTGTATATGACACTGAAAAGCATGCACAGCTGAAGAAAACATGGGTATGTAATACCTTTCAAAACGGTAAGCAATGAGCATACCCTTTAAAATTAAGGCATGTTCAAATGAAACATTTTATGCATTATTTAGTATTGTATTTAATCATCTTTAAATAGACATCTTCAGTAGGATACCATGTAATATATAAACATAAGACAAATTAATCTAAAAGGAATAAAGTCTTTGCCACAAACTCAATTATTTTAATCCATATCTTTGCCAGCTGATGGTGTAAACCTTTGATATTTCAAACTTTAATTATTTGATGTAGCCGAATTTATAGTTTAAAACATCAAAAACTTACGACAT